GAATAAAAGTAGTCCTTGTCATAATAATGAATTCACACTTATCAGGAAACATTATTTTAAGAATGCGGAAACATTATTGGTGATAGCTATTTCGAGTTCATTCAAATGATCTAAACTCATTGAATTCTAAAGAAGCATTGCTTTAAACAAATTCATTAATGTTCAAAGCCGTTTATTACGAAAGAGATTTCTTATTCAGAACAGATCACAGTTTTAACCTAATCTGAGTCTAATCTTAGCCTCCAACGGTCAACTCCTCAAAGACCTTTATCTGGCTCTGGATGCTCAGTCTTTGGGGGTGACTCTCATTATTTTTTATGAAATAGCCTAAAAAGCTCAAAACCAAGTTCAGCTTGGGATGCGAAACCAATTCTGCTATGCATTACAAAGTGGGATTATGAGGTAAAAATACATCTTAACTTCATTCCATTGTGGACAGTATAAATGCTAACATCCAAAATAGTAATTTGCCAATTGTCATTATCCCCTTTTAAAATAAGCATTTTCTTCCGTATTTATTAACAAATGGATATATCTTAATGTTAGCGGATAGTTAATTTAGCATCTTATCACAATTCATCGCCATTAATAATTTTTGAGTCGGGAAGGATGATTGAATCCGCCTGTATTTATATAACTCTTCCTATTTAAACCTTCTATAATGGCAAGTATTTTTATAAATAATTTCAAAAAATAATGCAGGAGAACGTCCGACTCAAATACTGCGATCTTTCGTGGAATGGGTTTACTGGAATTGGTGCAATGGAACTAGCTCTGGCAATAAGCGAGAACTTCAGTTTGAAGGAACTCCGAATTCGAAACAATAAAATTGGTTCGCGTCCAGTCGGCCAGCCATATATGATCAGTGACCCCATAGTGTCGGAAGCAGCCTTTCAGATAACTTGTGGAGAGGCGTTTGGCAGAGGCCTTGTGACAAATGCAAACCAGGACGGCCAGCTGGAGCTAATTGATCTGTCAGGAAATCCATTAAAGGCAGGGGCCTTGCTCACTCTGCTCACTTGCATAGCCAAAGCGGATTCCACAAAATTAAAGTCTCTTGGATTACAGGCAAGTATATTTTCCGTAAAAGTAGATATCTTTTTCAAAATTCTATATAGCAAAGTACATATAAGTACATAATTTGGCCAAATTTAGTTAGGTCAAAAATCTATAATATTGTGAATGGTATAAAAGTTCATGGATGCTGTATCATCAGCATAGCATGATCCTTCAAGATGAATCCCAATTATTAGAATTTAAAGAACGTGATTTATTTAATATTACGTAAGTTACTAGATAAATAATCATTATACACTTTGCGCTACATTGTTCTCAAATTTTACCTAAAATAATATTTACCTTAAAATTCTAGTTAGTTAAAATAATCTAATTGTTTATATACAAAGAATTTTATTTTTTTTAATTTAAAACTTACCAAAGAAACCAAATTAGAAAAGCTCTTAGCTTCACCATTAAGCATTAACGATGCCAAATAAATGTATTCA